GTCTGTCTGGTGAGCGCACGCGCCCTATAGCACTTAAAAAAAAAAAAAAAAAAAAAAAAAAAGAAAGAAAGAAAAGATAGAGGCTTGACCCTGTGTACACATGCACACGCGTGCACACAGACACACACTCCCTCACTTCTTCATCTCATGGGCATCGTTACATGTGGTTATACCCCTGGCCATCTGCTCCAGCCATGCCAGACTCCCTCCTGCTGTGAACACGCCAGAGTCTTTCTGTTTCGTATCTTTGGCATTTGCTTTCCCTTTACTTGACATGTTCTCCCTGAAACAGCCACACAGCCCTGAAACAGTCTCACTTCCTTGTGTCTACACATATTTCACCCTATCTGTGAGGCTGGCCCAAGTCTTTTTTTTTTTTTTTTTTAATTTGCTCTAAAGTTTGTACATTCACTGAAGAGATACAAAGAGAAAGGGAAAGCAAGAAAGCATCACCCAGAGGTATGGCCATGCTGCAATCCCGTCTCCTCCATTCTCCTCTCAGGATTTTGAGTATGTACACACATGTGCCCAGTGTTTTTCAAGCTGTTGAGTGTGGGACTCAACCCATACAGTTCAGCATGTGGAATCCAGCTGCCTTAACTACCACAGCACCTGGCTGGTTGGCCTTAAACTAAGAGTATGCTCCGTGCAGGCAAGACCCTCCTTTTGTTTACTGCTCTAACCCTAGCAGCTAGTGGGCATTCAATCAAAATGAAGACAATGACAGAAGACACAGTAGTGAGGATAAAAAGAACAGACTGACCCTGAATATAAGCCAAGGTTGGTGTCAATCAAAGGTGAAAATAAAAGAAATATTTTCCATGATTCTCTGGACTCTGTAAATATGCTTTATCCAATCATTTTTTTTTCCTGGTAATGTATTATATAGCCACACTATCTCAAAATTTACAAACATAATAAATGCTTATAAAATAATGTCAATGCAACACTTATCGATACAGTACACTATCATCTGGAAATACTCTAGGTGGACAGACCTGTGGTTATTTTGCTGACATTATTACAAATATTTCATCTACTGCTTCATTCTAACACAGAAGGATGCCCCTAAAGCAAGACTTCCAGTTTCATAAAAGTTCAACTTCACTGTTCACTGTCTCAGTGTCAAAGCCCTTACCATCAAGTCCTTTGTAATTAACCATCACATAAAGGAAACAGGATCGTCCTTACTTCACGAGGTTACGAACTAGCAGGAGAACTCTACTTTTACGACCTGAATCCTATCTCCTATCTAGTGTGTACTCAGATTAAGAAAAGAGAAACCAGGCCACAAACACAGAAAGATGAACATGTAAAAAGTGTAAGTGACCTCCAAGAATTTTCTGGAGGCGCTAGTTACTGTCTGCAAAGAAATTACAAGATGAAAACCACCGCAGCGGGCTGAGTCTTGCTATCACCGCAGCTGAAACACTTTGCTAACTTTCTCAGGGTGCATTTTGAAAGAAATTCCATGAAAGAAAAGGATTAACAGCCTTCCAAAGAGGAAGTTTCCATCCATTCATCATGTTATCAAAGACACTCTAGGGAGGGCTAAGGCGTGCCAGACCTACTGCCATCAGGGAAGTTCAGATGTAACACACCTGACGGAATGACAGCCTGTGGGGACACCCAGATCCCATAACTAGTTGGGAAGGATTCAGGGAAAACTCACTGGCAACCCAGCACAGGCTCTGCCACATTTGCTCCTGCAGATCAGTTATGCTGGAGCAGGATGCCACGCAGGGCCTCAGGTCAGTTTCTAACGGAACAAACATCAGATTCTTCCGAACACTGGGCAGTGCGACTGTGCATGGGGGTGCTTGTAGAGCCTTTAGACGTAAAAAAAGCTTCACATATCAATATCTAATCAGACAGAACTACCACCTCCTTGCATTTTTATACATTTAGACAATGTATACAGAGTGACAAACAAACTTAAGGTAATAAATAACAAGTGTGGCAGGCTCTTGGCGCCAGAAATGAGGCAGTGAACAAGATAAAAATAGAAATCAGACTACTGGCACCAACGTTTTAGCTAGAGGAAATAGACATTAAATAAAATAACCACATTACATAGCATTTTAGGAAGTTGAAATACAAAGAAGAATTATAAAGTGAAAGGGTGATAAGGAGAGGAGTGCAGCTTACATAAAACATTTGATAAAGTCATTAAGGTAGGCCTTATTAAGCAGGTAAAATTTGAGCTCAATTTTATGTAACTATTTCTTGAGTACAGCTATTCACATCATCTTTGCTTTATAAAGTTGATATTTTTAAAAAATGAATAAGATGGTTACTTTAAAATAAAGTGTTTGGGGTGATGATGCTCAAAAAAATGATACTCCAAAATATGATTCTTTGGCATGTTGAGTTCTTTGAATAAAGAAAATTGAGACACCTTAGAAGCTGTCTCATAATAAAGGTCTCCTCTCTCTCTCTCTCTCTCTCTTTTCTTTCTCTCTCTCTCTCTCTGTCTCTCCCTGGTCAAATTAAAATAAATAAATGAATAAAGTTAAATCAAATAATTCTTAAAAAAAAAAAAAAAAGAATAAAGGTCTCCCAAGTCTTTCCTAGTTTCTTCCCACAAGTGCAGAGAATGGCTCTCCCTGGAATTCCATTATGGATTAAGACAAGTTTGTCCAGGAGGAATGCAATTGTCTATCTCCCCTTACTCCCCAATCAACATTAACTACAGAAGACTAGTTCTTATCACAGGAGAGAAGACTAAAAGTTTACACAGGGAGGAAACCACTTAACACAGACCAAAGAGATTTATCTGCATAAAACAACCACTGTTCTTAATGCAGTTCCACCCCCTCACTTTCTCTTAACTTGTTGTCACTTCCCCCAGAACGCAGAGGAACATTATTTTAGAATATTCTTCACTCTGAAGGCTCATTCATTTCTCATAAAAAGCATTTACTACCTCCTCTAAACTACATACATCTGCCTACTTCTCTCTTCCTTAAGAAGACAACCTTCTAACTCTTCTTAGTGACTCTCAATGTACTCCTAATGTACTAATGACCTAAATATAAGGGCTAAAATCATAAAATCATTAGTAGAAACACAATTATAAATCTTTATGACTTCAGATTTGGCAACGCATTCTTGGATTTGACAATAAAAGCACGAGATTAAAAAAAGAAAAATAGATAAATTAGACTTCACAAAAATTAAAAAACTTTCATGTATCAAAGGACATTAAAGATGTTTAAAGACAACCCACAGGATGAGAGAAAATATTTGCAAATCAAGTATCTATTAGAGGTTTAATATCTTAAATATATAAAAGATCATTTTTTTTGGGGGGGGAGGGTTTTTTGCTATAGGGCGCATGCACTCACCAGAAAGACAGACAGAAAGTGAGAAATCACCCCCCGGGGGGGATGGCCATGCTGCAATCCTTCTCCTCCATTCTCCTCTTGGGGTCTTGGGCATGCATGCACATGCGCCTAGTGTGAGTTTAATCCACCAGATCTGAGACTTGAACGGAGGTTGACTACATGGGAGTCCAGCGACCTAGCCATTATGCCAACTGCTGGTCCCAGAATATATAAAAAGATCTTACAACTCAACAACAAAAAGAAAAACAATCCAATTTTTAAAATAAGGCAAAGGACTTGAATAGACATCCACAATGAAATGCTTCTTCACACTCACTGTGACGGCTTTAATCAAAGTAACAAAAAAATAACAAGTGTCGAGTATGGAAAGAAATAGGAACACTTGTACAATTACAGTGGGAATATAAAATGGTGTAGACACCTTGGAAAACAGATTGTAGTTAGTTGAAAGTTAAAAATAGAATTGTCATATGATGGTGTCAGCAGGTGGTGTGGTGGTTAGGTGATGGATTCCCAGATGGCTGACTCGAGTTCTATCTCTGGACCTGGCAGCCTGAAAATCACACCAGGCATGTGTGCATGCATGCCCAAAATCCTGAGAAGGGATTGCAGCATGGCCATCCCCCTTGAGGGGAATTTCTCACTTTTACTCTATCTCTGGAAAGCGTACACACTCTATGGCAAAAACCTAAAATAAAAAAGAAAAGAAAAAAAAAAAAAAGAATTGCCATACGATTCAGCAATTCTACTCCTACTTACATACTCCAAGAGAAATGAAAACATGTCCATAGAGAAACTAATACATGAATGTCTATAGTACCAATATTCATACTAGCCCAAGCACAGGAAAAACTTGGATGTCCATCAATGAAATAATGGATAAACAAATTGTGGTATATACGATAGCAGTTAAAATATGCTATGGTGGCATGTTCACAATGTCAGTTATTGACGCTTAGAAAACATTACTTGCAAAATGATCACTTTGACCTTCTTGCTATTTCTGAGAAACAAAAGATAAAATTAATATGCAAAAGACACCTTCCTTATGCTAGAAAGATACAACATCCTTATCTTCAAGGAATGAAATTGAACCTGAGAGCATTCTGTACAGACCTTGATAAAGTAACTTATCTTTTAAGCATCCACATGATTTAGTTGCTTCTTCACAACTCACCTATTCTTTGTCCAATCAGTAAATACATAACTAAATCTAACTGCTTCTTTTGGATTTTTAATTCATCATGAGGGCATCTGTGCCTTGTGAAACTTCTTAAATAAGTTTGTAAAATGTTCTCCTATTAATCTATCCTAGGTCTATTTGTCAGAGTCAGCAGGACTCCAAGAAGATGGAGGTGAAGTTTTTCCATTCCTACAGTATATGCAATAGAATAGTCGGTCGTGAAAAAGAACAGTATCTATAGGGTTAATAGAAAGGGTAAAAATTAAACAATCATATACTTAAGGCAGCAATGGTATGCTGAGGTCTTTAAAATATATTTTATCTCCTAAAAAAACTTTCAACACACAAAGTTTTATAGAGAACAGTAAATTCAATTTAGACCCAGATTCTGTGGATATAAAGAACATAACTGAGCATAAAATAATTGATTTTTAAATGCAGTGACATCATTTGATTTTTGAAACAATTACCTTGAAGGCTGCTAAGCAGTGCAGGCTCAGTGAGGCCATCACCAGCACCAGCAGGATAGTGGCTAAGTTCCGCACGTCCCATATGGTCTCCACCAGAGGAATACTGCCGACCTGCCAGTCATAGCACAGGGTAACAGGTGCGAGCAGAAGCCACACATTGAAGGCCAAGAGGTAGGAATAGGTAAGGAATCTACAAGGAGAAGAAGAATCACTCAAGGTCCACAACGTTTTGCAGATATTTCTATTAAGTAGCATTTTAAAAAAATACTTACCTAGAAGGGGAAATACCATGATAATACATAGTTCTTTTGTATGTATTTATTTCAAAAACCAGGATCTCAACATGTTACCCAGACTGGCCTTGTACTTGTGATTCTCCTGCCTCATCCTCCCAAGTAGCTAGAATTATGGGTTCAGACTACTATCCTGGCTTACACGGTATTTCTGTACTGCCAATGTTATCTTCTCGGAGAAGACAAAGGAAAATGAAAAGCCATTCATTCATTTATTCATTACCCCGATTACTTTGGAGTGTACTTAATAGGCTCTAGCCACTGGGTTAGGTGGGGGCTTTTTGGTGGTGAACAAATACAGTTCCCATGACATGCTTAAAAATTATCATATGAATAAATACATCACAACCTGAGCTACATAATACAAAGGAAACGTTTGATGAAAGCACATGACAGACACACTGCCTTGTGTTAGGTATGCTTCCTTGGATAAGAGACATTTGAATCATCCTTTCTTAATGTCCTCAGAATCCTGCAATTAATTTGAAAATATTTCATTACTTTTATGGATTGACTATGGATTCTATAGCTTCAACATGGGTCGAATTATATTAAAAAATCAAAGTATTTGTGGTAGGGAGACAAAAATCTCTTATTAACAACAGAGAGGACTGTCGTTAAGAAGAGAGAAATATAGCTGCTCTTACTGACAAGAAAAGCCAGGTGGACAGAGGGGAGAAAGACCATAGATGGAGGCATATTTCTGTATCCTGACTAGGTACTAATGAAAAGTAGAAGGCCTTACAGTTGACCCTCTCCTTTTGTAGGTAAAGAAAACTGAATTTATGTAAATTCACTCAGCAAATTCATTCAGCAATGTCCTGGACCTTTAAGGACAATAGAACTATTGGCATACAGCATCTCTGTCCAATATTTGCACTAAGAGACAACAAAATTCTACCAAATTTTCTAGCAGCAGAAAGCCTTACCCTTAACATGACCTCAGCCCCCATTAAAATGCCAGTCTAAGGGGCCACCAGGTAGTGTAGTGGTTAAAGACATTGGACTCTCACACGGCCAACTGCAGTTCAAGTCCTGGACCTGGTGGCTTGCTTTTTCACTTGCTCTCTCTGATTAGCGCACGTGCCTTATAGCAAACTAAAAATATAATAACAGGGACCAGCCGATGACATAATGGTTACATTGCTGGACTCACACACAGTTGAATGTGGTTTGAGTCCCAGACTTAAAACTCACACCAGGCATGTGTACGTGCATGCCCAAAATCCCCAAAGAAGTCTAAAGGAGAAGGGATTGTGGTGTGGCCATCCCCGCCCCCGCCCCCAGGAAGTGGGTATGATTTCTCAATTTCTATCTCTCTGTCTATGTCTTTCCTGCAAGTGCATTCACTGTATAACAAAAATCTCTACTAAAAAAATAATATTAATGAAAAATGAATAAGTAAAATTAAATAAATAATTATTTTTAAAATTGCTAGCCTAAAATATCTCAATAGTGCCAGTAGAATTTATTCTTTGTTCCAATCAATATCTAACAACAGCCCCCAACTTCTCTTTCTTAAAGCATTTTTAAAAAAGGAGTTAAGATATTCTATCTGTACTTCTAAGTATCTTTCTCCAAAACCTGTTAGCCACTCCTTTGAAACATATTCATAAGGAAAGAAAGGGCCTTTGTGTCAACGTCTGTGGATGGATAGAATCTTAACTTTGATACCGGCTAGCTAGCAGACACAGCTAATTTAATTTTATCTACCCTAATTCTGTACATTTTCATTTTTCTGACTCTTCTGAGCATCTGCCTGGCCCATTGCCTCACTCCCTCCCACCCCTCCCCCCTTTTTTCTTTTGAGAGGTTTTTGCTATAGGGTGTGTGCATTCACCAGAAAGAGAGAGACAGAGAGACAGAAAATGAGAAATTACCCCCCAGGTGGATGGTCACACCACAATACCTTTCCCTCCATTCTCCTCTTGGGATCTTGGGCATGCACTCACACGTGCCCGGTGTGAGTTTAAGCCACTGGGTCCAGGATGTGGGAGGCTACTTACCAGCGAATATCACAGGTTTCTCAAGAGAGCAAACAATCACACAATGATAAAGGCCATGATTGGCTCCCTTTCAAAACCTCACCTTCAAAACCATACTCTCATTGGCTACTTCCCATAGCAAATCGGTGAGCTTAGAATCCCTCAGATTTGCATATCCGGCACCTCATGATTGGTCCACAAAAGCAACCAATCATAACCCACCTTCTACAATCCTTCATTAGCATATAGGACAACCAATCACTGCCCACCAGCATGTATATAATCACGATCCCTGGCCCACAATCGCCAGACAACCCTGAAGACTCCGAAGAGCTGTGACACTGCGTCGTCTCCAGATGACCCTGACACAGCGTCATCTCCGGACGACTGTGAAGAATCATAACACTGTGTCATCTCCATGCTGCCCACAATAAACAGACGACCCTGAAGAGTTGTAACACTGCGTCATCTCTGTGTTGTAACACTGCGTCGTTCGTCCCGTCTCTCACTCCTTCCCTCAGGAAACCTGCTCGACTCTCCCCCGGATTGGGACACCGGGACTCGAACTACAGTCAACTACATGGGACACAGCTGTTATGCCAACTGCTGGTCTCCCTCACTCTCCCTCTAAAACACCCATCACCTCTGCATAAATCAGAATGGAGCTCGGTCTTGCCCCTGCTAGCTATAGTTCTGAGTAAAACCAGTTTTTACTACTTTAACGTCTGATCATGTTTCTCTTTGACACCCTACATAAGAGCAAATAGAAAAAACAGGCAAATTCTCTGTCCTCTAGAGAGGTATAATCAAAAGTGAATTAAAAAGGCAGAATGAGATAAATCAATACGCTCGGCTACAAAATGTGAAGAGAAGGTATTTTCCATTTGTCAGATTACTCTGGAAGAATTATTGGATTGGTAAAGAAGTTAGAGCAGATCATTTCTAAGCCACCTGTCAGTATTAAGAGTCAATTCTCCTTGCATGCCTTTCAACTAGTACCTCTGGTTAGGAATACCTTCCCAGACCTTCCATGCTGATCTCCTCCCATTGTTCCTCTCCTCCAAGGTTGGCAGTGGAGAACCACCCACAACCACCCAGGTGAAGGGTGTGAGAGGATTTCTCACTGTGCTGACATTTATAGCCCAAGAGAGAAATGGTTTGGGGGGGGGGTATTTCAACAGTGTTTCTCTATACTTTTCTCTCTGTTGTTTTAATGAAATGGTAATGTACAAATAAGACATACCAAAAGCTTGATGAAGTCCAAGCTCTGTTACTTAAGAAAAACAAACACAAAATGTGCTTTCCTCCTTTAGGTTTAGGCTGTGAGACTGTCACATCAGAAAGCCATTTCCCCAAAGACAAGACTGGATCCATTCGGGCCCTTTGTTTCCCAGAACTTTCAGGCTGATACCTTGGAACTCAGTAAAGATTCTCTCTGATGCGGCCTTACATGTGAATGCTGGACCATCAAACAAGATGAAAGTCAGGCAAGGCTGTCACTTAGTCACACCCTAGCTCTAAAAAATTGTCTTTAAAAATATCAATCCCTTCTCGAAAAAATAGAAGTAGGCAATAATCATCGATAACGGCTAAAATTATCTGATGAAAAGCCAATGAGGTAATTACCTGGATGGGTCAGACTAAATCAGGTGCCAAACACTGCCTAAAAATTTTAACATACAGAAAGGGAGACAAACAGCCTGACATCCTCCTGAAGCAAATACACGCCATATCTATAAAGCAGTCTTGATGAAAATAAAAACTGGGCTGGCTCTGTGGCATGGTGGTTAAGGCGACTAGACCTCACATGGCTAACTGCGTAGTTTGAGTCCTGAATCTGGCAGCTTGAGAGACACACCAGGTGTGTGCATGTGTGAGCCAATATCCTGAAAGATGAGAGAGATGAGGAGAGTTTGGCATGACCACGCCCCAAGGTGAGTGCTGTCTCCTTTCCCCTCTCAATCTCTGTCTCTCCATCTCCAGTGAGCATTCACATTCTCTAGGAAAAACAAAAATTATGCCTAAATTGGATCAAGTCCTATAATTACTAATTTACAACAAGTACAGGAAATAACAGAACATGTCATCTGGTGCCACAGTGATACAATATATAAAATCCAGACTGTGGAGGACCAGCAGATGGCCTAATAGCTATGTTGTTGGACTCCCATGTAGTTGACCGCAGTTCAAGTCCCAGACCCGGTGGCTTAAATTCATGCCGAGCGCGTGTGCGTACATGCCCAAGATCCTGAGAGGAGAATAGGGGAGAAGGGATTGTGGCGTGGCCATCACATGTGGGTGGTGACTTCTCGCTTTCTGTCTCTCTCTGTCTTTCTGGTGAGCGTATGTGCCCTATAGCAAAAAAAAAAAAAAAAAAAAAAAAAAAAAAAAAAAAAAAAAAACAAACAAACAAACAAAAAAAACCCCCAAAAACACCACTTAAGACAATCAAAGAAACTGAAATGCTGACTGACAATAAAGAGAACAGGATATAAAAAATCGTTAATATTTACAGTATAATAGTATATTGCTTATTTTGTAAGATTTAATTTTATGTATTACTATTATTTAAATTGCTATAGGGTATGTGTGTTCACCAAAGAAAGACAGAGAATGAGAAAGAGAAAGAGAGAGAGGGAAAGTGATAAACCAAGCCACCAGGTCTGGGACTCAAATTGCGGTCAGCCACGGGGGAATCTGGCATCCAAACCACCATCCACCTGCTGGCCCATGTGGCTATATTTTTAAAGTAATCTTGGTTGTGTATAAATACAGACATATGAATTAAGATGGTATTTGGGACCTGGCTCCAAGTAATTGACTGGAGGTGAGGAGAAAGAAGGGGATAGGATGTAGATGAAATAGGCAGCCATGAATGATGGTTGTTGAAACTAGGTAATAAATACGTGGAG